ACGCGCGATTCGCCGCATATGCGAAAAAGACAAACGTAATATTCGCGGGCTGTAGAAGGAAGTTGTGCAGGAATGTGATGCTGCACTTGCTTACCATTCGCTTTTTTTTGAAAAACGTTGCAAGTTCTTATGTGTTTTTGTCTGTTTGTTAGTTGCCGAAAAATAAACTTCTTCCAATACTTCAATTTTAGGCTTCCAAGCCGAAATGATCCCTACAGCACCTATAATCGCCAAACTATTCCTGACCGTCGCACTCAACGGTCCTACTCCTTTCAAAAAACGGAGGAGGTCACTATGAATCAGGTAAATCAAGTGATTCTTCTGTCCTTTTTTGCTTCTCACGGACTTCAAGCTTTTAAAACCTTTGTTACAACATCCCAATTCTTTTTCTCCTGTCAATTAACGGCACATGTCAGGTGTTGATGCTATTAGCCCGAGCGCGCGTAAAGAAACTTCCGACTGCGTCTAGATTGTGTACTATTGCGTAATGCGAAAATGCGTGTTCAATGCTAGGTCTTATTTGAAATCAGCTTGATTAAGGTTTGAAACATGTTTTTTGCTCAAGATTTCTGCAAATTTGAAGGCCTCTCTCCCCTTAGTTGTTTTGGAAACTGTTTGTTGAGTGTGCAAAATGTCGGATTATTGCTTGAAGGGTAAGGTTTCAGATTCTTCGACGAACATCGAACTCAGTCGCACCAATCACAGTTGAGGCGATGAGCAGAACTCATCCGATTGAACGGCGGCACGACTATGAACGGCCACCACCGGATCAGTACGACCGTTCACCACGAGAGGTGTCACTCGAACTTTTCACTTCCAATACTTTACTCTTCCTTTATCTAATCATATAGACTCAATTTTCTTCCTCGTATGCATTACTAAAAGTTCTTGTTTGTCAATGTTGTTGCCGATTTAATTGAATCATTTTCAGATGAACGACTTCGCGTACCGCAGTATGCCTAATGATGTGCCGCGATATCATCGCGATGATGAGTGAGTTCGAATTTTTTGTTTTGAATTTAGATCACATTTGTTCGTTTCTTATAATTCTTAAACATATTTGACACATTGCTTTTTTACCTTCTTTCCCCTACCAAGTTTTATATGTTTCGGAGAATTTATAGTTCTTGAAATGCTCTTAAAACCCTCATATTTAAAATTTCCAATTGGTCGTGGATTCCCTACTTTTCTGTTAAAAAATCTACTTCTGCGTCTTTTCTATCATGGTGATGCAAACAGAAACGTTATGCATGAGGGTCTTTTATGTTTTTCTTTGCTAAAGACTTTTACTAGGAAATATAACAGTGTGCCAATTTCTTAAATGGTATTTACGACTTTTTAGGATACTTGATTTGTATCATATCTTTTACATTCTTTGATTTCTGGTAACAGTTTTACGGGACCTTTAAAGATCTCTGATAGAAATTTATCGTATTTATCTGCAGTTGTGCGAAAAGTCATGACATAATATATTTCGATGGTTTGAAAGTTTTTTTGTTTTGTTATATGGAGTTTGGGATTGTGCTCAAAGATTATTTCTACTTTAGGTGAGATCATTACCTGCGAAGGTCGTTGCTTAGATTGTAACTATAGCTAATAGGGAATGATAATGTGATTGAGTAGCTTGTCTGTTTCTAGAAAGTGAAGTAATAACCCTTTCTTATCATTCCCATCTTCCTCTCTAGGCTCCGGTATTTAGAAGTATTTTCGGCAATTTTGGCAATGTTTTTTTAAACATGCTTAGCCACAATAGTTTCCATATATGTCATGCAAGTTGATCTTCTGGGTTTTTGTTAAGGTTGTCTGCTAGATTAGCACGATTTCCACAATATTCCCAAGTAAACAGAATCTTTGTGGAGTAAGTTAGTAATCTGCAGGCTTCTTAGTTTCAGTACCTTGCTTTTAAACATTATTTTTGGGATGTTTATGGGTTTGGTTCGTTCATTTTCTTTGTTTTTATTGATTGGTTAACCACTGTTCTAACAATTATCTTTGTTGAATCAGTTGGTTTTGACAGATGTCTCATTTTCCTTTGTAGAACGGCCTTAACTTCGTGAAAATCTAGTCTAGGAGGGATGCTTTTTACTGAAACTTGCAGCCATTGTTTTTTATTCCAACAAACATTTTTACAGTTATCCTACCCATCCTATATCGTACAACAGCGCGAGGTATTATGATCCCGTACAGGAGACAGATATCCTTGGTGATGATGTGAGTGAGGCACAATCCGACGTCTACGGACCGGGTACATATGCAGGTAAATAGATTTCTTCTAGCATTTTTTAACTTTCTACTTTTTGAACTTGTGTTTGGATGGCGTGCTGTAACACGCAATCAGGGCGATCACGTAAATACAGTTTTTATACTTGAATTTGGTAGAACAGGTTGTTCACAATTTTTTAAAAAGTTTGTAGACCGGAATTGACAGTGTCGGATGCAATTGTGTTCATGGAATAAGTCAATTGCCCCGTAAGAATTCACATGGGAACGATTAGATCTTCTGAGCTTCAAACTCGAAGAGCAAAATACTTACTTTTTATAAGGATTCGCGATGTAGAGGGCCAAGAATGGCAAGTTGTCATGGTTGTTGACCATAGTTGAAGACAAGAAGTCGTTTATTTTTTTTACTTCCCTCGAGAATTATACATGTCAGCGGATGGCA